GGGGGGGGGGGGGGGGGGGGGGGGGGGGGGGGGGGGGGGGGGGCAAAGACATCGTGCAACCGTTGGGATTTCTAATGATACTACAACAGCAGTAGTATCGTCAGAGCCGATACATGTACTCGAGTCGCGTGCCACTCACGGTGACGCCATACACGGGAACCAACTGATGTGCTCGTGCGTTGCATAATAATAGCAGTCGGTAACCCTGTTCGCGTTTTGTGACTATTGAAAAAGTGAAGCGTGCGGGTATCTGTTTAGCGAGGAAGGCTCCTATACCTGGCGGCCATGTCAGTGCTATGCATACAATTGTAATAGGCGTAACTCCCTCATGCATAGTGTTGCAGTATTTCATCTTGTGCCAGAATTAGCAGTTCAGAACGTGGCGGGAGCCTGGAATCTCTCCACCCCGTCTCCAGAAACTCACAGCAGACATGAACGCACAATGAAAGTGTGGCACCTTGTTCCGGCATAGACGAAACACCTTTTACGCCTAACGCGAGCACGTCATGTGGGAAATGTTCTCGTGAGACCACTGCCTCGCACTACTAGAAGATTCAAAGTGATGCTAACCCTTACCGTAAGACCCACAAGGATAACATGAATGCAACACACGAGGCTTCGATAACGAAATTCTGAAGCATATGCATACAATGCGCACGCGATCCTCCCACACCTTGGTCGTTTCCTGCATAGCCACATGGACGGTCTCCCTGCCTCCTTCGTTCGTGTATACCTCCACGTCCTGGTCCTCGATGACGTAAGCGGCTACCCTACGCCAATGTTTTCTCATCAGTTTCTGCCCACTCTCTGCAAAAGGATTTTGTTTCTGGAAAGCCTTCCAGAGTACGACCTTCTCCGCAGGCGTCCAACAGAGACGAGTGGAACCTNAATGCGCACGCGATCCTCCCACACCTTGGTCGTTTCCTGCATAGCCACATGGACGGTCTCCCTGCCTCCTTCGTTCGTGTATACCTCCACGTCCTGGTCCTCGATGACGTAAGCGGCTACCCTACGCCAATGTTTTCTCATCAGTTTCTGCCCACTCTCTGCAAAAGGATTTTGTTTCTGGAAAGCCTTCCAGAGTACGACCTTCTCCGCAGGCGTCCAACAGAGACGAGTGGAACCTGGCGATGAGGAGGAGGGCGTACATATCGATGAGCGTCAGGACAGGCTCTTGTCTGCACTTGTACAGCGAGAGTGGAGCAGAACTTCAGTTCGACCTGCTGTGTGATCATTACAGCGTGTTTAATTTTTTATGAACCCAAACACACATGACTTAAGTTGAAACGCGAGATGAAGCAACACCCGCCACCCCCCCACCATCTCACCCACCACGCTTCGTCACCTCTACATACGCGCTGATACATCTGTACAGAACTGCTGTCGGTGCCTGCACTCGGCGGCCACGTGTACAAGCGAGGGAAAAAAAACTGCTTCTGTACGCACGTCCTCCGCACCTGACGCACAGCGGGTTGCACCTAGATGCGCCACATGGAACTGCACTGCTGCTGCTGTGTTGGCGGCTTGAGCGTACCTACGCGATGCTCAATCGATATTAACCTTCGTCGTAGGCTTCTGCTTCGCCTTGCCCCCGGCACGTTGCCCACCCTTGTTGGCTGCTGATCCACCCTCCGGCTCGGGCGTACCACNCACGCTTCGTCACCTCTACATACGCGCTGATACATCTGTACAGAACTGCTGTCGGTGCCTGCACTCGGCGGTTACGTAGACTATAATTACAAGCCCGCCGCACCTGACGCACGCCCCCCGCACCTGACGCACGGCGTGTTGCACCTAGATGCGCCACATGGAACTGCATTACTGCTGCTGTGTTGGCGGCTTGAGCGTACCTATGCGAGGCTCAATCGATACTAACCTTCGTCGTTAGGCTTCTGCTTCGCCTTGCCCCCGGCACGCTGCCCACTCTGTTGGCTGCTGATCCACCCTCCGGCTCGGGCGTACCACCACCGCCTCCAGCTGCGTCGCCAGGAGACGGGCTGGAGGCTGCTACGGAGAAAACAACATATTCGCCTGATTGAGAGCGTAGCATCTGATTGAGAGCGATCTCTCAATCAGATACTTCGCTCTCAATCAGGCGAATATGTTGTTAGAAGGGGGTGGTGGCGGTCCCTACTCGGCGTGCGAGTGCGAATTCTCCTGCCAACCCAGACCCATCTGGGGGGCTGCCGTACCCCTCATCTGGGTTGTGGTGCCTAGGCGTGCTGCGCCTGTCTGACTGGCGTCTCGGAGGCGTCTGAGTAGAGTCCATGACGAGCACAACGACGACTCCAACAAGTCGGTGGCCGCAAACAAAACCCACCTCAAAGAACGCACTCCCTCCTCGAGCCGACGCCGGCGTACGCCCAGCACGCAACGCCCTAGTGCAGCCGCGGGGAGGCGGAGAACACGTTCGCGCCCCGCGGCGACTGAGCGTATCCCCACCTTCGTGTACCCTTGCTTTCAGCTACCCCCAATCCTTGCTCTGTTTTCGGAGGCCCAGAGGTCCACGTATCAGGTCAGAACACTTCCTGCGCGCGGCGCGGGAAAAGCCTTGGCGTACCACGTTCCAGCACCCTCCCGAACAAACCTCCTCCGATACTCTCAGCTGCGAACTCAGACGTATTCGGCCTTCGCGTCGTACAGATTCGAAGCCAGTGTGGTGTGCTGTTGCACCTGGTGTCGTTTCGCCACCCTGCCCTCTTCTCCAACAGGAAAAATCTCCTTGTTCAAAAAAAAATATCCGGCCTTCAACGAAAAAATTCCGGTGCCCTTTTTTCCGGTTAGAAGTGCGGCGTAATCGCCTTAACCCGAAAAACACAACGCTACCGGAAACACGGCCGCCTACCGGAAGTTTTCACCCTACAGGGGAACCCCCCTATTTTCCTCCTTGTTTTCGCTACCACCATTCTGATCCTCATTTTGACGACAATCTCTGGGCAGTTCTTCCTTAGTCCTACGTTGTTTCTTTTGGGGAAGGTCACCTGGCTCAAACCCTTGCTCTCTTCCACTCCTCCATGTTTTCCTCCTCCATTGTCGTCTTCGTCCTCCTTTCTTCCCTTCCCTTTCGTTCGTTTCCGCCACTACCAAGGATTTACCCTCATTACTATCGTTGTCGCAGAGATCCCAACCGATTGGCCCGGTGGAAGTTGGTCGATCAGTAGCCCATGACGTTTGAACACATCGCGAGTTCGCATCGACAGAAAACGAGCTAGCTCGAAGGTAAACCGTCTTCGAATCCTGTTAGTATGAAAAGCTTTCAGGCAAACTAAGGCTCTTTCATCGTCAAAATTCCCCCGGCAAAAAGCTTCGTGCGCCAAGTGGTTGGCGATAGCAACGATGAGTCGATTGGTCCCTTTGCCAAGACCACCATTCGTTGAAAAAGCAGCAGTAAGGAGGGTAGATCTGGAAGGGTTGAAAGTTCGCGCATAGTCATTTGCCTTACTTGCAGCTCGATCGTCGAGGGCGGATCCTGGCTTTTGCATCGACTTGCCGATGCTTCGACCTGCGGATGGGTTGACGATTGTTTCGTCTACAAGAATGGACTTGGTGCAGAGTTCCTCTTCCTTCCCTCCTGCGTGCAATCCTGGGGGGATTACCAAAGAAAGCCATATTGTATAGCCCCTTTCCCCTACCAGTGCCTGTGGTAGGAGGGGAAGAATCGTCAACGGCGATGGGCATTTGGCACTCACGCAGTGTCTTGAGGACTACGCGAACGATCCTGTTATGGAGGAAGTTTGAGGCGCCGGTCTTGGTGCAGACGAGAGAGTGGGGTCGGCTCCAGCGGTCCTTGCATAGTAACAATGCACCGNCTCGCGCAGTGTCTTGAGGACCACTCGAACCATCCTGTTATGGAGGAAGGTTGAGGCGCCGGTCTTGGTGCAGACGAGGGAGTGGGCTCGGCTCAAGCGGTCCTTGCATGGTAACAATGCACCTGCACCACAAAGTTTGCCTGTGTTGCAGTCTGCTCGATCGTGACTCCCCAGTGCACGACCGATTGACTCTCGATATAGATCAGGCAGCATTATCTAATCTGCTGACAACCCTTGCGTTGTCAACCACGACAAAACTCCCTTGCCTTTCGCTTCCTCCAAGCGGATCAACGCCCTCTTCTTTGGCGTTTCCTCGCCTACTACTTTCTGCAAGTCTGTCTCCACCATGTGGCGCACTGCTGCATGAAGAGGTTTCGAAAGGAGAGCTTGGGCTCCAAAGACTTGGTAGTGTTGACCAAATTCATTTCGGCTGAAGGTAGACGGTGGTTGATGTTCTACGTCAGGGTTTCCATCTTCACTGGGTTTTCCCGCCTTCCCTGCTTCCAACAGGTAAACTCCTTTGGGGGCGGGGGTTAACTCATTACTTNTGGTAGTGTTGACCAAATTCATTTCGGTTGTAGGTAGACGGTGGTTGATGCTCGACGTCAGGCATTCCATCTTCACTGGGTTTTCCCGCCTTCCCTGCTTCCAACAGGTAAACTCCTTTGGGGGCGGGGGTTAACTCATTACTTTTGGCAAGTTTAGCCCATGACTGCCCAACAGCTTTTTCAAGCTTGTCTTTGGTGATGATCTCCTCTAGCTTCTTGAGTGAGTCAATCAGAGCCAATCCTGTCGGTAGTTGGGTAAGCCGGGGTAGACATTGCTCAACTGTGTATCCTGTCGATGCTTGCACTGACTTTGAGAACACCAGCGCTTGCCCCGCCACAAAGCCGATTCTCGAATGAGAACATTGCTCGTGATTCCTAGTCCTCCTTCACGCATGGATAGGTGCACCTGTGCCCGAGCTGTCCCTTTGAAGAAATCTACATCCTCGCTCTTCGTCGGGTCTCCGCGTACTTCTTTGTCCGTTGGTATTCTCATGCTGTCGGCCATCTTGTCAAGGACGATCTTACTCATTGCCCACATCATCATCTTGCCATTTTTTCTAGCGGCAGAGTTGGTTATAGACGGTGCAATCGTCCTCAGCAAATGAAACAAACGTGACACACCAGATAAGCGCAGCAGTTGATAGCTGGCTTGAGGGTCGTCAAGCGTCAAGGACGATCTTACTCATTGCCCACATCATCATCTTGCCATGTTTTCTAGCGGCAGAGTTGGTTATAGACGGTGCAATCGTCCTCAGCAAATGAAACAAACGTGACACACCACATAAGCGCAGCAGTTGATAGCTGGCTTGAGGGTCGTCAAGCGTCAAGGACGATCTTACTCATTGCCCACATCATCATCTTGCCATGTTTTCTAGCGGCAGAGTTGGTTATAGACGGTGCAATCGTCCTCAGCAAATGAAACAAACGTGACACACCACATAAGCGCAGCAGTTGATAGCTGGCTTGAGGGTCGTCAAGCGTTACTAGGCGGAGTATCAATTCCGCCGGGTCACCACGGGCGAATTTGGAAACGAAGTTCCTCTGGAACTCTTCTGTCCCTAATGGGATCCCGACTACTGGCATGCCACCTTCAGCAACTGACAGTGTGTGTGTGCCGGACGAGTTGGGTTGTTTCACCGTGTTTCGCCGTCGCTGTCGGCTGCTCGTTGAGCTACAATATACTCATGAACATGCCCACCCCGAGGTCATGACTATCGACATCATTGGTTGCTTCATCCACCACCAGACAAGCCTACTACTGTACTCGCACGTGTATCGATTCCGGTCCCTGCCTGTCGCGGAATGCGTGCCGACATCAGTAAACGATTGCGGCTGGTCGACAATTTGGCTGGCAGCTGCGCTACAGAGCGTGACTGCAACTGATGGCGCAGGTTGTCAGGGCGCGATTATCGTCGACTGTGTGGTCATCCTCCAAGATGTGTGTGCGTGGCGTGTGTTGTGCTTGGCCAGATAAAAATAATGAATGGCTCTTCGTGGTGATTGGTTGGGCATTTCAAAACGAAACACAACTGATCTCGGCCATTCACGTCAAATATAGAAATAGTCTACTTGCTTTTGCAGTCACTGCCTACAGTTGTATGTAGTCTACAACTATTCTCCATCGTATTGGGGAAAATCAACCACACCGCACAGCAGAAGAAAGTTACGCAACTACCATGCATGATACACGCTACTATCTGGTGGGCCATATGTAAGATGGGGTTCGGACGTTCGGACCAACCAAGGAAAGATCACGTTGAAAACAGTGTGCTACGCGAAACCAACTGGATGCATGGAGCAACCAAGCAGTAAACGTCGAACACCTCCCCCCCCGGTGCATTAATCCCACCCGTCGCAATGCCTTTGCAGCCATATAGAGAGCGCCCGCACTTAGAAGTTAAGAAATTTAGACTCGAAATATATCAGAAGCTAAAAACTTGAGCACTATTTGTGAGCGAGCCCCTATGCTAAAACCTATATAGCGGCCATTTGTAGCCCAGCCTCGGCTGAAAGTAGAGGTTCTTGAGGGCGGGCGCCATCTGTAGGCGTCTATCGACTAATTCCACTATGTAAACGCTCTGTCGATCTCCACAACTACCTTGACGATTTAGTGACATTGGTGCCTGTCATTCTCTCTGAAGTGGTCGGTTTTGGGGAATACGATGTTCCACACCCGCGCATGCTGGCATGATACGTGTGACGCCCAAGGGGTGTTGAGTGCGCGCAGGTGCAACACATGGGGCCCCGCGCGTTTGGAATTGCCGCTATCGGGTGTGTGAGATACCCCAAAGTGCCGACACATCGGGCTTCGTCCTGTATGCCGCTATATCGGCTCAAAATTGAGACAAGAGATTTCGGTACTGTACCGCTATATCGGCAATTCCGCTATTCAGGTTGCTGCTATATATATCGGGCCACCTACAAAGTGTGCGGCTGTCCGACGAGTTATTCATATTACGGTCTACGTCTATCGTTGTATCATGTCGTAGGTGAAGATGTTGTCCACAATCGTCCAGAGTGTGAGTTACAGTACGCGCGTACGTATACCTACCCGGAGACGGACCAAAAAAGCAAACAAACAAATATTATGCCGAACTAAGTGGAATCATTTATGGAAACGACGGTCGGTCGACGACGACGTTCCTAGCACTAGCATATAACTCAGGTAGGATGATATGCATACAATAGATTGGAGTATGATTATCTATCTTCAACTTCCACCACATTATGACACCCTGTGTTTCTTACACAACGTACCCACATCCGCCAGCTACGTCCGTCCTTCTTTTCCCCGACGACAACGTAAGTCCAGCGCTGCATCAAGGAATAATGTCATCAGTGACGTCCCGCCTATTCAGCGGGCGGCGATGTCACGACCAGGTGGCCGCCCCGCCTACTGGGCGGGCGGCCGC